TATGAAATTATATGTAAATATTTAGTACTACACTAATCAATATATTAATTATTTTATGAAATAAATATCTGCAAATTAATATTTTTAATAAGAATTAATACTCACTCTATAGGTCATATTTATTAATAAGTTTTTGAAATGAATAATTTATCCTAACATAAGCTTAATTTATTTTTGATACTTTAGAAGTTTTTCTACAATATGATTTAATATAATCTAAATAGTAAAATACATCTTTTTCAAAACAGAAGAATTATTGCTTAATTTGGAATCCTTTAATCTTAATTTTTTAGCTCTAAAGTGATTTTTATGAATATGATTCAATCTTACTAGTGACAACTTTATTTTTATGAAGAAAAAAATAAATAATTGGAGCAATTTTACTGAGTTTAGGGGGAATCCTATAACTCAGGAATTATTATTTTACAAATCCTTTATTAAGCATTGAGAAATCTTATTAATTAAATAAAATTACGTATTCTTAAAATACATAGGATAACAATAAAAATAAAAATCAGCTCAACAAATATGAAATGGTAAAGAACTATTTTAATAAACTTGATGCGCTTCTAAGGTAAGATGAGAAATAAAGATTTATTTACAATACTATTTTCAAACGTTACATCAATAAATTAATATAATTCATAAAGTAAACGAATCATGAAGAGAACATTAATAATTTTTTTGAGTTTAGTATTCAATCTAAAAAAAAGTTAATTAAATTTAAAACTGTATTCAAGTATAGTAAAGGCTAAAGTATCATAAATTAAAAAAAATCATATAGATTATTAGAAATATAATTAATTAGAATTAATATGAAATTAAATTGATAAAAATTAGGTTTTTATTATTAAGAAAGATTTCTAAAATTCATTAATTAGTTGTTTTATTATATACTTTATTAAAATTGTTTTTATAAATGCTATATTTATCAATTTCAGTAGCAATTATCTTTTATTGTAAATCCAATTGTACATTTATCTTGGACTAACGAATTACAACTAAAAGGTTTATTCATGCATCTATCAGATGTATTATTTGTAATATAATGATTCTATATCGAAATACAAGTACTTTAGGTATCAGTTTTAGCATATAAAGTTAAGTAATTTGAAAAATTAACAACTGAAAATTATCCTCGTGAAATTACATTAGTTGTTCTAACTAGGTTAGCTGTTGCACAAGACTTTTTCAACACAAGATGAAGAAGATGAAACCTATATACAAGTTTGGAATCCTGCTCTTGATATTTCACAATTTTCAGATGCTCTTCTGGCTGAACATGAAGCAAGCAAATCTTAAAATCTTTAAGATGGATTACAGAATTATTAGCAAAACAACTTGATATATAGGATTAAAATTATAAAGTATTTGAAAAAGTCTTTGATACAGTAGAACAAGATTTTTCAATACTACCCACAAGGTATAACATTAATTTCAATTTGAATATTGATTAATATCAGTATTTTTCTGATTTTTTAAGTATCTAATTCTTAAATTGATATCATAATTAATATATGATATTTTAAATTATAGTAAGTAATTTAATTCCATCAGAAACACAATATTAATAATTTCTAGATAAAAAATAAAATAATTTTAGTAGCTTGTTCTATTTTCTTATTACTTAAATATACATTATATTAATTGTTTATAAATCAATAGTAGTAAATAGAATATAAAGGTTTGGCTCACTATATCTAATAGTCGTTAATTTGACTCAAATAAAAAAAAGTAGCAAATCGAAGTTTTAATTGCTATATGCAGCAGATTTACTTATTTTAGCTTAATTTGTCATTATGGTTGGATGTTTTTTTATATTATATTTTATGTTATAAAAAACTAAAATAAAATTAATTATAGCAGGACCTTATAGTCTACTTTGTAATCTCAAATTTTGGGACCATACAAGGATAATCAATCCAGGATAAACTCGTACCTTATCAGGTTTATCCTGCTATTGCTAGGTTAAGGGGAGATCTATGGAAATATCAAAGAGTTTTGAACAGTTTAGAAAGGGATAGTCCTTTTAAACATGAGATGAATGAAAATATTGTAGAGAGATGTGATTGACATCAGATCATCTTAAGGTGACATAATGGAACTTTGAAAAATTTGAAGTAAATTTGCTTGAATATTATGAAAAGTTTCAAATTTTGACTAATAACTATAAGAAGTGAAAACATTTATTAGAATGATTAAATGATCATATATAGTTAATCAAATTCCATTTACAATTTTCTCAGCGACTCAGTACAAGTGTACTATGGACATCTAGTATACTCACTCTCTAGAGCCCCACAAGAATTCAAGGCTCAAAAATGATTCCCTATACTTGAAACTCTTTATGCTTATTATTATGCTAACGTTCTGCTCCTTAACGAACGCCAATTATAAATATATATACTGAAAAAAAGGAGAAGCTATTCGGACTAGGTTCCAGCCTATGATTATCTCGATGACTACTCTAAAATCATTTATGGTCTAAAGGAAGCATCCTCAGTTCACTATTCAAGATTAGGATATGGAAGCTGTTAAATTTTATTTTAATTTGATAATTTCTTTTTTTTCCTTTCAGCTTTCTTATGTCCCCATATTAGTTGCTCATTTATTATGCACCTCATATACTATCCTCGAATAATAGTAGCATTACTTATTCCTTAGCTTCCATATATCTCACAACTTATTTATAAATCAAAATTAGAAATATCATAGGATGCACTGGTGACTCTAACCTCAATTTCCAGAAATTATGTGGTTTTCTTCCATTAAAGGTATTTTAATGTCTTCTTATATTCATTAAAGGCAGATTTTGAAAATATTCCCTTTTACTTTAGTAGCCTTACCCTGCAAATTCGACTAAGAGTTTTACTGCAAATCCTCTACCTCATCCTAAGTATTGAAACCATAGATTCATTAAACTCAACCATTTGACTTTCATCTTTCTATACTATAAATATGTTTCAATATGACTCATCATCTTTTAGGGTCTTTTAGTTTTATTTCTACTTTTCATTTTGCATGTAAATACTACATTCTGATTTAATTACTCATAAATTATTCAATCATCTAATTATCCATTATCTTCTTTTGTAGTTAATGCTGCTATTTACCTCAGCACAAGTGAAATTAAATGTAGAGTTACTGAAACAACTAACAAATGCATTGTTAATATAATTTTTCTTTCGATCTACACTAAAAAAAAAACATAATTGAGAGATTGACTGCTTTGTGTGTTGGCCGTATAGATTGAATTAAATGAACTGATAAGATAAATTTAAATAAATTAAGCAAATGCCTATTAATAATGATATAAAATAATATTCAAATTTTCAAAGAATACAACATACTTTATGAAACAATCAGATATGTTAATACATATATAACAGTTAATAGAATACCTTAAATTTTTACATCAATAATAACTATTCTTGTTATACTAAATCGAATTGAACTCATTATTAAGAAGTTCATCAAGTTTGGCATCAATATTCTTAATTGAGTTCTATTTACATTTATTAAATAATACATATACCTCTATTCTTTATTATAAATTTTCTATGCATTCATTTACTTTTATTTGGTATTCATGTCTTATTGGTTCAGAGACTGTTTATATTTCTTTTTTTCAGATATTTTATTACATAAATTCTATTTCTATTAAAAATTGCTTCTAAGAAAACTTTTGTATAAATTAATCAATAAATTATTCCTTTTCTATTACGATTCAAAAATTTGAAATAAAGTAACTAAAAGAAATCAACTTTAGTCTATGTGGACGGATATCTAAGCAAACATATTAAAAATTAATGATCCAAAATCTTTACTTCTCAACTTTTAAGATCTTGTTTGTAAATGTTTAAATGTTTAAATGTTTATATAATCAACCAATCAACCTTCTTCAGAACTTCCAATTCA